AATTAAGTATCTCTAATGTAAAATATCTGCATAATAAAGTTTATTACTATTAATAATGTGATTAGTTTCTAATTGATACACTGTAGGAATCTCTAAGATATCATTTCCTTTGGCCAACTTCTTTCTTATGTCCAAGTTTCTAAGGGCAAAAAAATCATACTAAAAAACTCTTGCTATCACCCTAGGTAGAGTGCTATGGCATCACAACTCACAGCAACCTCAAACTCCTGGGCTTAAGTGATTCTCTTGCCTCAACCTCCAAAGTAGCTGGGACTACAGGAGCCCACCACAATGCACGGCTATTTCTTTTTGTTGTTGCAAGTGTTGTTTTAGCTGGCCCAGGCCAGGTTCAAACCCGCCAGCCTTGGTGTATGTGGCAAGTACCTTACCCAGTGAGCTATGGGCGCCGTCCCTTAAAAAATTCTTTTAATGAACAAAATTTAATTTACAGCTCTATGTTAATCTTCTTCATCAAGTGCTTTTAGATTATTTGGTTCCTATTAAATTACTTTTTAAAAAAATATATCAAATATTGTGGTGAAACTGATTGAAAATAGGTATAACCGTTATTTGAGAAAGCTAATCAGCAAAAGGGGTATCATTACAAAGCTATAAAGAGCATAGGCTCTAGAGGCAGCCGGCTCAGCTACTTGCTAGTTGTATAAGGCTGAGAAAGTTACTTAACTTTTCAAGTAGTCAGAACTAATACTATGTAAGTATTTGTAAATTAAAATTTAAAGTAAATAACATGTAAATTAAAATAAAATGTAAGATCTAAAACTATTTACTTTAATGTTTATATAAATTTAAATATACCTAAATAAGTAAATATAAAAACATAAATAAGTGTTAAAATGCTCAGATTCCTTTGATTCAGTAATATAAATCTTGTGAATTTATCCAAGAGACAAATTCTAAAGAAATTATCTTCTATTTGCACTAATATGTTAACTACAATATTATCTGTAATAGTCTTTTAAAAAGAGAGAAATGACCTAAATGTTCAACAGAAACAGGTTTTAAGTACAAAATATCATATAGTCATAAAAAGCTATTTTCAGTCTTAAACCCCTCCCTATTACATACCCACAATTTAAAAAACTATTCATGATATAATTTTAATTATAATAAAGCACAGTAAACATGTATGTTCACTGTGTGGACAACTGTAAAATAAGATATCAAGGATAAACTTATTATTGTCCCTTTGAAATTGACATTAATACCATTTTAAAGAATTATAACTAAAAAGAAACATTTTATTAATCATTAACATTATAGAATCTAAAAACATAAAAGGCACAAAAGTTCAGATAAACAAATATAAACTATTTAAACCACAGTCAAGTAAGACACCTGTTTTGAGGACTCATAGAACTTGAAATCAAGGTTTTAAAGCACTCATGTAAAATACCATATAACTATTTATATCTTTATAAGTAAATTTCACTTTTCTCCAATTTGTGCTTCTTTTCTTTAGTTAAAAGATTAAACTATCCACTTTACTATTGTTTGTATGGCAATGAGAAAAGAAAAATCTATAATTTCTTTGTAAAAATTAATAACATTGTTGCCTGTCTACCATCTTGGCATTTGTTCCTGAGGAGAATTCTACTGTCTTTCATATCTTGTTCTTGAAAACAACCCTGATGTACACATTTTTTCCTCTGGTTGCTTTCAGATAGACTAAGCCTGAGAAAATGTGTTGCCAGCAGTTTTGCGCTATAAGAAAGCTAAAGAATACCCCCCCCTTTTTTTTTTGAGACGGAGTCTCATTGTTTAGCCCTCAGTAGAATGCCATGGCATCACAGCTCATAGGAACCTCAAACTCTGGGGCTTAAGCAATTCTCTTGCCTAAGCCTCCCAGGTAGCTGGGACTATAGGCTCCTGCCACAATGCCCAGCTATTTTTTTTGTTGCAGTTATCACTGTTGTTTAGCTGGCCTGTGCCGGGTTCGAACCTGTCAGCCTCGGTGCATGTGGCTGGCGCTGTAACCACAGTGCTACAGGCACTGAGCCAAGGTATCCTTTCGAATGATGGTTCTAAACAATTATCACCAATATATTTCAACTACTTTGACCTTATTTTACTAGGCTCCCATTATTTTGTTACAGTTATTACTTGCTGAGTCTGGTACTGAACAAAACAGCTATACATGAACTGTAGAACAGATTCTAATAAATAGAGAGGGTAACTAGAGGGAAAAAGCTAAAGACATGGCTTTATTACAAATGTAATACATAATTCTCAAGAAACCTAAAATTTTATAGGCATGTGTGTTCACATATGTAATCCAGGGATTATCTGAATTCTTCCCTCAAGCATTGGAAAACCATCAATAACCTAATTATACCAGTATATATTTTAGTTCTTAAAGCAGGAGTCCTCAAACTTTTTAAACAGGGGGCCAGTTCACTGTCCCTCACACCATTGGAGGGCCGGATTGCGGGCCCCAGGACGAGTCGGCTGCTAAGCAGGACAGGCAGCGGCGGCAATAACACCTGACGGGCCAGATAAGTGTCCTCAGTGGGCTGCATGTGGCCCACACGCCAAAGTTTGAGGACGTCTGTCTTAAAGACTCAGTCTAGAACATAGTTTTGCTATGGAACATGAGTATATACACTGACATCCACCTAAGTAAATGCCCTCTACAAATAGTTTCCCTAGCCATTTTCTATTTAGAAAAAAACTATAAAAACAAGAAGCTTTCAGTGCCTGTGGTTCAGTGAGTAGGGTACCAGCCCCATATACTGTCCATTTTTATGTTTAGGTTAAACAAAATATAAACAACCATATAGAAATATGATTGGACAAAAATGTATGATCTAATGCTAATAGACTGAGTGGGGAAACACAGCAAAGTCTGTCTGGCTAGATTCTTCTTGGCCTCTCTGAGCATTCATTTCTTCCTTTTGAGTATGTGGCAAGATCCTCTCTGGAATGGGAGTCTTACAATCTACAGTCAAATAAAGTAGATCATAAAAAATATTTATTTTTTAAATCTAGGCGCAGTGGTGCATTCCTATAATCCCAGCTACTTGAGAGGCTGAAGTAGGAGGACTGCTTGAACCCAGGAGTTCAAGATCAGCCTGGGCAACACAGCAAGATTCCTGTCTCTAAAAATAAACAATAACGTAGGTCAGATCATTTCTTTCTAGTTGGTTTTTACATAGAAACATGGGGGTGGGGGGAGAATGAGGAGTAAGGGTAATCTTTTTAAACTTTATGGCTGGTTTGGGAGAAAATAGGTTCTGGTTTTTATGATCTGCCTTGAGGAAGGAAGATTCTAGTTTCTGTAGCTACCCAAGGGAGCTCATAGACAGGATAGTAGCAAACAGTCAAAGAAAAACTTTTGCTTCTGGGGCCATTTCTGGGACCTTCATTTTGAAGTATTGTTTTCTGAGTCCCAAGAACAGTCATACATAAAAGGCTTTAATATTTGTTCAAACTATCCTGAAATTTCTTAACTTCCCTCCTCCTTCCCTATTCCAACTGGCAGAGTCTCTTCCTTGTATTTGCTCATTTGAGTGGCATTACTAAACTGCCACTGAAAGATGGGTTTCATGTCAATACAGCTGTTAACTTTTTAGGCCCAAGGAAAAAGACTGCTTTTTCTATAGGATCTGCCTAATGATGGAAGAGATACCTTTCCATCATGCCGGAGAGTACTGAGAAGAGCGACAGGTCGCTGCTTCAAATGCAAGTTTGTCCTTGCAGAAGGAAATCCAACAGAAATGTTTCAGAACACTGACACTGAGATAAGAAGTGAATGAGCTGAGTAAAATAATAAAAACGTATCACCTTTTGATATTAATTGCACTATTTATAGAGCAGATAAAAGCATATTAGAACACAACAGGCCAGTAGCGCAAGAAAGGCCACAAGTACTAAATTTGTCGATCTCAAAGAAGTACCAGAAAATGTTCAAATAAGAAAATAAAAGTCTTTCAGTCATTAATACCTAAAGTCAGATAAGTGATGAAATCTTTTTATATGACATTCTTACATAAAATTAACACTATTGCTATAAAAATACAATTTTAAAACTTACATGAGGAAGCTTATCTCCCTATCTATTACAAATTTCTACAAAGTAGAACATCAAATTATTAATTTTGGAAAATGGAGTCCTGTAAGTTAGCTGGTGCCAGGCTTGCGACAAAAATTTAAATTCTTATTAAAAACTGGTTTAAGGGTTTTTGGAGTTTCTTTGCTAAGAAGAAGTCTGTTTAAAAGAGGAGTAGGTTTCTTGCTCAAATTGGTCTCACACTCCTGAGCTCAGGCAACCTACCTGCCTC